ACCTTTCAGACCTATGGAGAAGGGAAGAGTTTATGACCAAACAAGAGATAGAGAACAATATGAAATTAAAAACGGATAATTTTGATTACATTAAATTGAAAAGTTTTTGCACAAATAAAGTACAACCAGTGTCTCTGATAAAGGTCTCATTTCTAAAATATATAGAGAACTGAGTCAAATTTATAAGAATACATATCATTTCCCAACTGATAAATGGTCAAAGGATATGAACAGACAGTTTTCAGATGAAGAAACTAAAGCTATCTATAGTCATATGAAAAAATGTTCTAAATCACTATTGATTAGAGAAATGCAAATCAAAATGACTGAGGTACCACATCATATCTATCAGACTGACTAACATGACAAAACAGGAAAATGATAAATGTTGGAGAAGGATGTGGGAAAACTGGAACACTAATGTATTGTTGGTGGAGTTGTGAAATGATCCAACCATTTTGGAGAGCCATTTGGAACCATGCCCAAAGGGCTATAAAAATGTGCATACTCTTTGACCCAGCAATATCACTTCTAGGTCTGTATCCCAAAGAGATCAGGGAAAGGACCCATATGTACAAAAATATTTATAGCAGTTCTTTCTGTGGTGGCAAAGAATTGGAAATTGAGGGGAGGCCCATCAACTGGTGAATGCTGAAAAGTCATGGCATATGAATGTAATGGAATGCTACTGTGCTATAAGAAATGATGAGCAGGTAGACTTCAAAAAAACCTGGAAAGACTTATATGAACTGGTGTAGAGTGAAATGAGCAGAACCAAGAGAACACTGTACACAGTGATAGCCACATTTGTGATGACTGGCGTTGATAGACTTGGCTCTTCACAGCAATGCAAGAATCTAAGACAACTCCAAAACACTCGTGACAGGAATTGCTATGCATACTCAGAGAAAGAAACAGGGCGTCTAAATGCAGATGGGAGCATACTATCTGCTTCCCTTTTCCTTTGTTGTTTTGTTTTATTGTTTCATTCTTGTGGTTCCCCCCATTAGTTCTAATTGTTCTTTATATCATGACTAATGGGAAAATATGCTTAATATGAATGTGTAAGTAGAGACTATATCAAATTGCATGCCATCTTGGGGAGGGGGGAGGAGAGGGAGGGGGAGAAAATTTAAAACTCAAAATCTTATGTAGGGCCAGCTAGGTGACGCAGTGCATAGAGCACCGGCCCTGAAGTCAGGAAGACCTGAGTTCAAATCTGGCCTCAGACCAAACACTTGACACTTACTAGCTGTGTGACCCTGGGCAAGTCACTTAACCCCAATTGCCTTAAAAAAAAATCTTAAGACAGTGAATGGTGAAAACTAAAAATTAATTAATTATATATATATAAAAAAAAAGGTAGAGAAGGGAGCTGGTTGTTGGAATCTTAAGAAGCTGAAAGGGCTTGTGTGGTTCATGATGCCAGAAAGATTATTAAAATAAATGCTGATGCCCCTGGGGTTGATGAGACAAGATGAAGTGGAGAGAAAAACTGAGTTAGGTGTTCATGTCACTGAGAAAACTGGGAAAGTGACTTGCAGCCTGGAAAAATACAACAAGGATAAAGAGAAGCAAGTAGAAATTGATTGCAAGGATTTCATAGCCAGGAAAGACAATTCTTATAATTTTATGGACTCACATAATCATCACAGAGATCACAGGACCTAGATCAGTGCCATCTACAAAAGGGACAGTTAATGAATCATTGGTCATTAATTGTTCAGGTAAAAGGGACAGGCTGTTGAAGCTCAGTGATAACTGTGGTACAGCTTCCAGGCATATCCAGATCATGATCACCTAGAAAGGTTTGTCTTCAACTGTGCTTTCCCAAAGAACAAACAAGTCACTACTGCTTCTCAGTGTACTAAATACACTAAATAGCAATTGTATTAACGAAAAGGTAAAATTCAACAGGAAATAAACTTAAAGCTTTAAAAATCTTGCACCTATATACGTAGTCAGAGAGTTGGGAAGGACTTTAGACATCATGTAATTCAACAGGGCCTCCCCCACTATTTCACAAATGAGGGAACTGAGGCTCAGACAAGTTAAGTGACTTGCTCAAAGTCACACAGGAGTTAAGAGGCAGAGCTGGGATATGAATCCAGGTTTTCTGCCTCCAAATATGGCTCTTTACACTGTCTCTCAACTTGTGACCTGGTCACTACGATGGAGCCAATTTTTTTTTTTTAGTCAGTGGGGTCAGTATGATTCTGTTCAGGCCTTCACTCCATAGCTCACAGAACTGTCTTCCTTTCTGCTTTAAAAAAGCTGCTGTGGTGGTGATTATTGTTATAACTGGCCCATTAAACCACAGGAGAGGGGCTGCAAGATGATGCCATATTGAATAGAGTACCAGGCAGGGAATCAGGAAGGCTCATCTTCCCGAGTTCAAATCTAGCCTCGGACACTTACTTAGCTGTGTGACCCTGGGCAAGTCACTTAACCCTGTGTGCCTCAGTTTCCTCATCTGTAAAATGAGCTGGAGAAGGAAATGGCAAACCACTCCAGTGTCTTTGTCAAGAAAACCACAAAAGGAATCAGGGAGATTTGAACACACTGACCAAAAATGAACAATAACAAAAGGCTTACCCCTTGGGGAAGAGGCTAAGTAAGTATGGATTGGTGATTACTGTGCTGGAGAAGTAGGGGGAGGTGTTAAAAAAGTTTGTCCTGGCTGTGAAGTACAGGAACAGAGGCAGCTTAATTCTGGTTTCAAAGGCTACAGACCTTTCGAGTATGTACAATTTTAGATTATCCTTAGGGGAGAGAGGAAAGCAGTGAGGCTCAATGTCAAAATTATTGACTCATTTCTACAACGTTTGTTGGGTGCCTGCTCTTTACTCAATACTGTCTGAGATACAAAAGATATTATAATCCTGGTGAAGCTGTGAAACCTAAGTCTTCCTGACTCCCTGCCTTGGCGCTCTAACCTAGGAGTAAGTCTAGGGTCCTTAATTGCCCATCTAGGACAATTTCATGCTCAAACACTTGTCCAATGGGCAGGTGTAGAGACTGTGGAAAAAAGGCCCACAGGTACAGGACAGTATTACACAGTGTAAACCAAAGCATGAACCTGCAAGTCTTCATCTTACAAGCTCTTCCCCAATAATTTATGCATTCACTTCTGTATGTCACAGATCTAGAAGCTCAGTGCCTCAGTTTTACATAGTGAAAAGGTATGTATGTATGTGTGTATGTATCATTTCAGAAAACTCAAGGCGAGGAACACACCTCTGCCAATACAAGTGTATTAAGTACTGAGTCTAGCCAAATGTTACAAAGCCAGTATGTGTTAAGATGAGGGAACCCAGGTCCCCCTAGCTCTGCCTTCAATATACCACAGAATAATTAAATGACTCTCCATATTGAGATCCGCAAATATAATACATCTGGAAAGAATGAATTAGAATCAGAAAACCTAGATTCAAGTCCTGGTTTTGCCATCTACTTACCTGTGTTCCTTGAGACCTTACTCTTACGGAGTGAAATGAAGAGGTTGGACTCCGTGGGTCCCTTCCATCTCTGAACCTATGATCTGGTGCTTAATAGTTACCCCTAAATGCTTTCTATTAACTCCTGGAACAGTTTTGCAGTAAAACAAGACTTTTCAGTCTTTCAGACTTAACTCTTGCCCCAAAACATACCTGAACTGTTCTCTTTGGATTGCCTCGGCCTGCGGGCAATTACAAAGTCCTTTTCCTTCGCTTTCACCTTTTGCTTTTTTGGCGGAGGGGCTTGAGTTAAGAGCAGCTCCTGGGGGATGTTTTCACTGTCCACCTTATCTTTCTCCAGAACTGCGACCCCCATTCCTGAGAGCAAATCCGATGTCTTGTTAAGATCCCATCCCCACGTGAAGGTGCTATTAACATTGCTGTTCGAATCGGGAATCTCCTGGAGGTGTTTCCTGCAGGAAATGGACAAGTTGCATCCTTATAGCTTTCCATTAATTACCATCTCCCAAAACGGATGCGTCCAAGCCAAATCGAAACAAGGGCTTGCAAAGCCACCTTCTGTATGTAGATAACACTGCTTATTTGGAAAGCACAGGTGATTGTCATAAATTGGGATGGGAAGGGGCTAGGGAAGCGAAAGCTGGTAAGTTAGGATACGTGTGCATTTATCAAAAACGACTTTTTTTCGTTGCAGACTGTGCCTAGGTTACCTAAAAGAGGAGTGAGGTAGGGAAGAGGCAAAAAAAGGGAACCAGGCATCCAGGCATCCAAAACATCAACACCCACGCCCAGCCTGCCCAGCTTGCAGAGCCACGAGGCAATAGACTCCATTCCCAAACCCACAATTACCCAAAGCAATTAAGCAGAGACGGCTAAAAAGATAATGGTGAGATACATAGTATCCACATTTTTCTTCTTCTCCATCCGCTTGTTCATCATCGCAAATAGGTCTGGTTACCTGTGCATGATGGGCGTGCCGTAGCAGAGGAGGGGATTTAAAACCTTGCATCAATTGCGCGGCTCTCGGTCTCCGGATCCACGCGTCCCGACTAGGAGCCGCACCACTACTCCCCGCGGTGGGATCCGGACCCAAGAAGGCAATGTTCCATTCAACCCGCGCGCGGAACCTTTTCCCTCTCCTGGTAGGCGGCCTGGGGGCAGGCGCGCTGCCTGCTGGGATTTGTAGTCCCCGAACTACCAATCCCTCGGTCCTTCCTCTTGCCAAATCATCAGCCTGCGTCTGTCCCTCCATCCCACTCTTCGTATTTCTCGCGCGCTCCTTCTCACTATGACCCAGAAGCCCCTGCGGGGCGGGACGCCAGCGAGGCCGGGGAGAGTGGTGACGTATTCTTGAGGAAGCGGAAGAGAAGTAGGGGGCCGGCGGAGAAATGTCACCGGCTTGAAGGCAGCCGGTGTTCCTGCGCTGCCTCGGCGCTTCTGCTCCGTACTCACCTCGCGACGGCGGAGGCGCCGGCGGGTCCTCGCGGCCCCTCCGCCCGTTGGCCCGCGGAGCTCCAGGCGGGACGGCGAGATCGGGGCTCCGGAACGCGCAGTGGGTGACGGCCGCGGTGGGGATGGCGATCCCGGGGGCCCGCCGCGCCTGCTGAGGGGAGCACAGACGCCCCGGTAAGTCGGCGGCAGCGGGGGGTGGGGGTGGGGCGGAGAGCCTCCCCAGGATCCCAAGCCTGCCCGGGAAGCATCTCCACTCCGCAGCGGAGGGTGGGGTGGGCATGAAAAGGAACGAGGGGCCCGAGCTCCGCTGCCGGGAGTGGGTTCAGGTGAGGGGGCGTCACTAGCCATCTTCCTCCTCCCCACCGCACCCCGGCCGCGACCCCGAAAGTTGCGGGTTCACGGCTCCTAGGGCCGAGGCTTGGAGGGTGGTGAGGGGTCTGGAGCTGGTCCGCTTCGCGCCGGGATGTCCGAGCGCGTTCCGGGGCTCTGGGCAGTGCGAGCACCTGCGGCGGGGGGCGGTGCGCCCGGGAGGGGGCGGGGAGGAGGTGGCTTCGGTACCCGGCTGCTAATGGGGAAGGCCGAGAGGGAGCCTCCCCTCCCCCAGCCGAAATGCGGCCTCGGCCGGGTGAGCTTCGGGCTGCCCTTCTGGGCCTCGGAAAAATGGAAAGCTGAACTATCTGTTTCTCGAATTAAGCCTCCCTTCTCCCGGATGTTTGCTTGTTCTTGATGTTTATTCTTGTTTATTTAGCCTACTCTTTGTGGATGGATGGGTGGCTGAATGCATGCATGTATGGATGGATGAGTGGATGGATGGGTGGATGGGTGGATGGATGGATGGATGGATAGATGGATGGATGGATGGATGGGTGGATGGGTGTCAGCGCTTTTCTTTCAGAGAATGCTTGATCTCTAAGATTATTATCATGCCTGCGACATTGAAAATAAATTATCGGTATTGTGTTGGGGAAACAAAAGGAATTGTGGATGATTCGTAAAGTATAGCGACTATCGGTATTGGTTGAATTGGCTATTGTTATTTTAAAGCTAGGTAAATTTACGAGCACCAGGTTTAGTGCTTACTCTGCGTAGTTCATTAAATTAAAAGTGGTTATATTAAGTAATTATCTTTATTTTCTCATGCATTTAACTTTATTATCGTGAAACTCCCCCCGCCCCCGCCTCTTTTGTCAATGTGGTTTGGGGGCTTAGTCCAAAATATTTGACCACTCTTTAGTTACTCTTCTGGGGAAAAACCATTTAAACGAGTGTTTAAACGTAAATAACTATATTCTTCTCCAGGAAAAGTATATTTAGGGCAAAGCATGCCCGATTTAAATGCAAGTCATTTTTATCTTTATCCATTTCTTCATTCTCTTTCTTTACACAGATGGTTGATTATTAACTAATTTTTTTTATGGTTATAAAATCTTGAGGTAGGGGAAGGGTTCTCTAAAGGTTCATTGTTTAAATGCGTTATCCATCTTGATGCCAGGTTTTCTCTTTACTATTTATAAACTGGCTAGATTTTTTTTCTGCTAATACTTTTGTGTTGTTAAGTGTAAGGTATAAAATTCTAATTTTATAAATTAGGAACATTTTTTGTGCTTTCTGTCTTTTATTCAGACCGTGAAACTTCTCTCATTTAAAACGTATGCCGATGTACAGATTAGTAAAGGACTCCCATTAGAGGACTTCTGGTTTAAACATCTTGAATGACAGCTCTAGGGAACAAAGTCCTGCAATAGTGGAACAGGTGTTTTGCAGGCAGCAGCGTCATCATTATTACACTGATAAACCAGAATGCCTAAACTTGCTTAACGTGGGTTAATGTATTATGCATTATATTCAGTCCTGACCTATTGTCTTAACTTTTTTCAATTTATTTACATTATTGATAGTGCTACCTAAAACCATGATAACTTTTAATCCATTTTAAACTTGGAGTCATCCAGCCTGTCAGTTTTCAGTTAGATGGTCTCCACAAGCTTAGATTTAGCATTTTCTGAGTAATAAAGATCCTTGATAAATTTTAGGTTTTTTTGTATTTAATCTCATTTCCATAACACCTCATTTTGCATCTAGGCAAGATATGATTCTTATTTCTGTGGTAAGGATTATTAAAAAGATATATATTAGTGACCTAGGTAATGAGTTAATAATATGCTTATTATATTTGATGCCATTGAGCAGGGGTTTGCCAGCGCCTTGGAAGCTTGAAATAGAATTCAAAGTGATGGTAAATGAGACATGTGTCTATTGGACTTCATCCTACTGGAATATGTGAGGTACTTGGTGGCAGAAACAAATGAACAAATACAGGAGGATGAATGGCAGAGCACAGATAGAACAAAAACTGGGAATCACAGCTTATCACCAGTGAAATAAGATATAGGAATATGGGTAGTGTAATAGTACCAAAACAAACATGATAAGTATTCATGTTAGTAGAAGTAATGGCGAGATTAGTGAATAGAGAAAGCTGGACTCAGTCAGGAAAACTTGGGTTGGTGCTGACATATACCAGAATGACCCCTGGATAAGTCACTTTACCTCCAGTGCCTTGGGCATCCGAATTGGTTGTGACAGTTTACTCTTAAGAGGTCTCTATACCAGTAAAATCACAGATCTCAACCACTTACACTTCTCCCATCAGCTTTGATGATATCACCTACATTAATAGAAGAACTGGGATGTAATCCTTTTAAATTCTCTTGGTTTTTACACAAAGGGGTAAAGGTATTGATGCCATTTGTTTACCTTGTAGATAAATGACTAAGTACTATGGTGTATAGTCAGAAATTTTGGGTGCCTAAGCAGAGTATTCCAGAAAGGGTCCCTTACTCTTTGTTAAATATAAAACATTCTCAAAGTAGGTAGGACTTCCTTGGTGATATTTATAACTATAAAGGATAAAACAGCTAAGTACCTTAAAGAGCTATTTAATTAAAATTGGCTCTCCTTGTCTTTCCACTTTATCCTCACATGATGTCCACTATAGCCACATAAGCAGTTAATCTTCAACCAATTCAGAAAGTTTAGTGTTTCTTAGAAGTTTAATAGTTTTCTTTAGACTGCTCTGAAATTCTTTTATCTTTAGAACATTCTATCACCTAGGTTACTACTTTATCCTTTTTCTTAGTTATTCTGGTTTGGCCTTTTTTGACTTCTTTAGCTTCTGGATCCGCAACATTTTAGGAGTTTCTGAGGCAGTTGGTAGATGAAAAAAAATAGTGGTTATCTAATGTTTATTTTGAAGTACATGAAGAGTTTTCAAGTGAAGGCTACTGACCAATTTGTTGGATTTTTAAATATCACAAAGGATTGAACAAGAGAAATGAACTTAAATTGATGAGAGAATTCTTTTAGTTTATTATAAAATGTTATTTTTTCCCTTTATTAATCTGTCTCTCCCATTCCCCTGTCTAACTCATGGATCAAATTAAGGGGGAAAGAAACCTAATAAAATAAAGCCCTCATTACAATAACTGTAGTCCTATAAAACAAATTCCCACTTTGTGTTTAAAAATGCATATCTTCTGTATTTTATCACCACATTGTCAAGAAGTATCATGTTTCATCATTTTTTGGACATGTCATTTATTAAAAAGTTGTTTTACTCTACAATTTTGATAATGGGGAAAATTGTTTTCCTATTTTCTTTCTTTACTCTGCATCGTTTCATAGAGATCTTTCTTGAACTGTCTCATTTTAAAAATTTCTTTTGGCAAAGTAATGTTCTATTACTTTTGTACACCGTAGTTTAGTTAGCCATTCATCAATTGGAGGACACTTAGTTTCCAGTTTTGGGTTCCCATGACAGGAGCTGTTATAAATATTTGTGTACATATAGGTCCTTTTCCTCTTTCTTTGATTTCATTAGAGTATGGACCTAGTAATGGTATAGCTAGGTCAGTAGGAATGCACATTTTCATAGTTTGGGAAACATAGTTTAAATTACTTTCCAGAATGGCTGTACCGATTCAAAAGTTCGACCAACAAGGCACTAGTATACTTGTTTTCCCACCGCCCCTCCAACATTTGTCATTTTCCTCTTTTGTCACATGCCAGTCTGCTGGGCTGGCTTGAAACTTGAAGTTGCTTTAATTTGCATTTCTCTAATTATTATTAATATAGAGCTTTTTTCATATAGTTGGTGATAGCTTGTATTTTTTCCTTTGAAAACTGCCTGTTTGTATCCTTTGGCCATTTATCTATTGAGGAATGGCTCTTATGCTTATAAATTTGAATTAATTCCTTGTATATCTTGTGAGACCTTTAGAGAAAAATCATTTAGACATTAGAACCGTAGGCATCAAGTTCTCAATTATTATTATTATTACCATTATTTATTTGAAACTTTGATTTTAATGAGGTAGGGAATTCCATCTATCCATACAGATCAACAGCTGTTCTGAAATTGTAGTTATAGTTTCCTAGGAAAAAGATTCTTGCCCAGGGTCGTACAGCCAGTATATGTCAGAAGATGGACTTGAACGTAAGTCTTCTTGACTCTTCAGCCACAAGCCTGTTTACCTAGGAAGTTATTCAATCTCTGCATATGTGGAGGAACTCTAGTGGGCTCAGTAAATAAAGCATGGGCCTTGGAGTCAGGCAGACTCATCTTCCTGAGTTCAAATCCAGTCTCAGACACTCACTAGCTGTGTAACCCTGGGCAAGTCACTTAATCCTGTTTGCCTCAGTTTCTCATCTGTAAAATGAGCTGAAGAAGGAAATGGCAAACCACTCCAGTGTCTTTACCAAGAAAATCCCAAGTGGGGTCACAGGGAGTCTAGTAGAACTAATGGCTAAACAAGAAATCTTTAAGCACAGGATTTAAAGCTATTTTGGAAGGTAGGTACTGACCTACCTTTGAAGCAAGGCAATGATCTAGATCAGTGGTATCAAACGCAAATAGAAAGGGAGACAAGGGAGGCAGCTAGGTGGTGCGGTGGACAGAGAACCAGCCCTGAGTTCAGGAGGACCTGAGTTCAAATCCGGCCTCGCACACTTAACACTTACTAGCTGCATGACCCTGGGCAAGTCATTTAACCTTATTGCCTAGCCGAAAAAAAGAAGGGGGGGACCAGTAATCTGTACTTAAGGATGCTTGCAGGCTGCACATTAACTTAGTTTTAAAATATAATGGTTTTTTTTTATATTTTTGTTTTGTTAAC